TTGCTCGTATCAAGGATCATACTGAAAGGCACACCATTGCTACTAGGTTTCTGAAACGAGATAATAAGACTATCAACCTTGTTGGTTATGATAAAATAAATGCCAGTAATAATGTTAGACACATTGCTCTTCCCTGCAATAAGAAAGCTATATTAAGGTTGATTCCTTACACCATCAGTTTGTATAGTATTGGAGGTAGTAAAATCTGTTTCATTAAGAGTAAAGATCAAGCTTCTGAGCTTTCTGGTTTGTTACCCGGAGCTAGAGCTTTGCATGGTGACATTCAACAATCACAACATAAGATTACTCTTGCTAGATTTAGAAAGGGTAAGATCTCGACATTTGTTGCTCCAATTTTTTTATGTGCAACAAGGAAATTGGAATTACAATTCTATCTAGTATATGTGAATTTCTTCCTCTAATCATAATCTTAAGAATCTGTTGATTCAAGATTGAATTAAATCTCGGTGTATAAGTAAAATAATACATTAGGTGGACTCTGACCGAATGTGATCATTCACATAATCAATATATAAACTCTAAAATATTTATTTATCGCAATTATATTTTTTTCTCTAGTGTGTTTTTTTTCGTGTTTAATTCGATTTTCTTCACAACATAATCTAACATCCGTGTCTTGTTGCCAGGAAGTGGAGAGGCTAGTGCAAGCCAAGCATCGAAAAATGGTTAACTTGAAGCAGAAGAAAACTCCACAAGCTATGTTTAAAGACCAGCACAAGGCGCTAGTGGACCAGGGAGAGAAATGGATGAAAGACACAGCCACTTCATGCACAGTCGTGGCGGCTCTAATCACCACAATGATGTTCTCCTCTGCCTTTACCGTCCCCGATAGTTACGACGGCCAAGGCAGACTATTCATGATCTTCATCATCTCAGACGCTATTTCTCTCTTCACCTCATGTATCTCTCTTCTCATGTTCCTCGGAATTCTCAAGTCTCGTTACCGCGAGGAAGAATTCCTTAGATCGCTTCCGACGAAACTGATCGTGGGTCTTGCGACTTTGTTTCTCTCGATGACGACAATGATGGTGACTTTTGTCGTGACGCTCATGACTCTGGTTAGAGGGAGAACACCGTGGGTTTCTGCTCAGTTTATGGTGCTAGCGGTTGTTCCAGTTGGGATGTTCGGTGTTCTTCAGTTTCCGGTGCTACTTGAGATCTTCTGCTCCACTTATTTCCCTAGGGTTTTTGATAAGCCTCGCGAGCCTCGGAGAAGATTTAAGCTGTGGTGGAGAGAATAATGTTGATATAAGTATTTTTTAACTCTAGCTTATGTTATGGAACACAGCCGCAGCTAGCTACTTTATCAATGAGATGTGATCAGAAGTTTGCTCGACAAAGTTTTCTATTCATTTGATAGAGTTATCGAGTTTTTTTTTTCTGTCCGACTAAAGAAGTTGTTGAAATGATGGAGGAATAAAAGATGAATTTTTATACAAGTTGAAGTATGAGATGCCTTGAAGAATCACAAGACTAAGTTCAAAATGAGTGTTTATTAAAGAAAATGGAATACGTGCACTAGGTTCTTTGTGCTCAGGCTTCTATGTGTGACATGAAATTTATCTACTTCTTTGGCTATTTAGTAGAGTAATTGCGATATTAACGATATGTAATTGTGATATAAAATCTCTGCGTTTACATAAGAAAATACGTTACACAGTTTCGATCAGTTAACCAGTGGTATAAACGTTCATCTGTGTTACGTTGTTCAGAAAGTCTGGCGTGTCTAGGATTGAAAAACAAGCTGGTAAAAGGTTTGTACATGTTTTTCCACCACATCCTAATGATCTTGCCAAAGCTGGCTGTATGGAAGCTGCTGAGGAGATTATACAGGTCTGTGATAGTGTGGTTCATGCGTTTATGACGGCTGCCAAGGAGTTTGCAGATGAGTATTTCGGTACAGAGTCTGATCTTGGTGAAGGCGAAAAGCTCTTCAGAGATAGCTTTCTTAGACAGATGGTAAAGGAGAAAGATGGAAACAGAAAAACTCAAGTGATTGGTGAATCTGAGATTGAGCAGTTTGAGAAAGATGAGGACTTGGTACTTGATCAAAAGAAGTATGAGACTCTGTATCATCATAAGGAGAAGAACACAAGGGATATTATTATGAGGCAGTCTAGAGTTTATGAAGACACTGTGAAAAAGAACAATGAGGATAGAATGAAGATTGGTCAAGGCTGTGTTGAGTATGAGAAACAAGAGATTTTTCTTAAATTGGCTCTCGAGGATGCTTGCATATTAGCTCATAAGGAAAATGAGACTGCGAATTTTGTGGAGAACTCTTGGTCTGAAAAGAGATGATTCCTATTTTAGATCATATGTTAATACTAAGGTATTGAGGATTCTGGACGCAAAGGCCAAGATTTTTGAGCTTGGAAAGGTATCATCCAAGACAACATCTTTGCCAAGTAGAATTGGCCTAACAAAGAAGTTGGTTATTATTTACCTAACACCGTCTAGTAAGGCTAGGAAGGGAAACGAAGTATAAATAAGATGGAAGAGACAAACGTTGACGCGGGTTCTTTAGCTACACCAGTATCAAAGAAAAAAATTGTGAAGAAAGACAATCTAGAAGAAAATGAAGACTTTATGGAAACTAACCTTGAAAAGCCTGAAGATAGAACCAAGACTGCAAAGATGTTACGTGCACAATCTAAAAAAGAGAAAGCACAGAAAGGTTCAATGAAACCAGCTGCAAAGATGAGACTTGATAAATCAGTCCACTCAGATACCAAGAAAAGGAATTCGGAAGGTGGAAGCACGGAGATGCAGATTGCCGAGTCGTTAAAGAGCAAGAATAAGAATGCTCGTGCAGTGACGCCTTCTACCAAAAAATCTGAACAAATTCTCAAGAGCCACCCCAAGAGGAATCATATAGTTATTGAGGAAGAGGAGCATATAAAGTCTCTCAGATTACCAAAGACAGAACACATCCAAGTGGTACTTAAGAGGTTAGAGAATCTGAAAGTTGTATTAGGTGATATCTCCACTGAAGTTAAACAGGAGATGGCAGTGCGTTTACTCACGAGTAATCTGGAAGAAAAGTTGAATGGAGAAGTCTATTATGATACAATGAAATATGGGGTGAAGCTATCAAAGTCTGAACAAGAAAGAGACAGAGATGCTATAAGATGCATAAGGAACATGGGCTGTCGTCTAACCAGACCGGAGCTATTTTGCTGTGTGAGGATGATAAGGCGAGATATGCAAAGATTTGAAGGGTTTCATAGAGCTGCAATGAAGATACATGAAACTACTGAGATACCAATTGTTGGAGATATTGGTAACTTCCAAAGAATTGACTCGGATGATGGCAAGAGCGTGGCACATATATTTTATGATGGTGAAAGATCAATTGCGTGGGGTTCAAGTAAACAAGAGACTGTTGTGTTACCTTCATGTGAAGCTGAAGACATGGCATGGACAGAAGCTATGGAGCAAGCTACATGGTTTCAAAAGTTACATCGGCATACACCCATGAGTGAACAGAGAACCGATATTGTGATGAAAGCATTTGGGGAACTAAAATTCAAGGAGATGAGAATGATTATTGGAGTTAGTGAAGATGAGTTCAAGATTAAAGGGGAGAATGTTGGAATAAGCTTGAAATAGCTTGAGAAGCAAGTTACCTAATTCTAATGAGTTGAGATTATCTATAAGGATTAGGAAATATTCTAATATGTTAAACCTAATGAGTTTAAGAAAGTTTGAGTTATATATAAGGAGATGCAAAGTGTGTTGCATAACTTATGAGTTTAAGAGTTTGAGAGCTTAAGGTTTTTGAGAGAGTTTTCCTGAAGAGAGATTAATAAGAAGAGTTTCTTATTTGAGTTCATAATCTTGTGTTTGAGACTTTGATATTGAGTAGCTTGATTTCTATATTTTTGTCTATATGTAGTCAAAACTATTTATATCTTTGCATCAATACTAATCGGTGGTCTTGGAAGTTACACCAAATTAGAACTAACTAACAAAATTTCCTATAAAAAGTTATTGCAAACCTAGTTGCAGAATCATCAACTACATTCTTGTCCCACAGTATGTAAAATATATTGAAGGATTTAAACCTTTTTTGTAGCCTCGCTATCTCTTTTAATTATGTCAAAAAGTTGTCTTGGATAAAGTTCCTAATCATGGAGATAAAATTTTGCCATCTGATCCAAAGTCCTAGTATGTATAGTGTTGTAGCATACTTTCATTGCCCAAGCAAGTGATTCATCTCTGAATGCAAAGAAGACTCACTTCTTCTCATGTTTCTCATACCCATAAGTTAGGTTTGTCCAGACATATCTTTCCAAACCTATCTACAACCACTAAATTGTGATGTACAAGTCCAAGAGATATCCACGAAACATATGTTCTCCGTATTCATATTATGATCAACAATATCTAGGGCTTGTATTGCTATAGAGCCTGTTGCATTCGTTGAGAACCAGTGTATTGTTTTTAAAAAATATACACTTATTTAAAAATCTCTAAATATAGCAATATTAAGCCTGTTGCACTGTTTTTAAATAACCACTTATATATAGCAATACAAGCCCTAGATATAGCAATATAACCAGTGTATTGTTTTTAAAAAATTCAGTCTCAGGGATTTTTTCTATGTCAAATCCAAAGATATACCAATACACTTGTTTTTTTTTATCAAGTTGTTTAAGATCTTAAACATAGAGAAAAAATTGTGTAGACACCAATCCTTCTGCAGCATTTTCAAGCGCAAAACTATATAATCTACAGGTTTATTTTAAGATCTTGGGATGGGTTCTCATGTTTTGAAAAGTTACTGGAGTGTCTTGTGTATTGAGATTGCATTCGTTGAGAACCAGTGTATTGTTTTTAAAAAATATACACTTATTTAAAAATCTCTAAATATAGCAATATTAAGCCTGTTGCACTGTTTTTAAATAACCACTTATATACAGCAATACAAGCCCTAGATATAGCAATATAACCAGTGTATTGTTTTTAAAAAATTCAGTCTCAGGGATTTTTTCTATGTCAAATCCAAAGATATACCAATACACTTGTTTTTTTTTATCAAGTTGTTTAAGATCTTAAACATAGAGAGAAAACTGTGTAGACACTAATCTACAGGTTTATTTTAAGATCTTGGGATGGGTTCTCATGTTTTGAAAAGTTACTGGAGTGTCTTGTGTTTTGAGATATTCATCAATAATTTAAAATTTTCTTATGAAATCTTGCAGTGAAATTTCTTTTCGTATGCAAGTGCATATTATGATCAACAATATTAACCAGCTTAAACAAGTGTATTTATGTTTTTCTGATAAAAAAAAAACAAGTGTATTGGTATATCTTTGGATTTGACATAGAAGAAATCCCTGAGACTGAAATTTTGTTGGTGGCATTGCATTGCGGAGTTCCTTAACCACATCTCATCTGCTTCATGCAACCAACTTAGGTGAAGCCAATGTTAAAAATCACCGATGAAGGAAACAATTTTGAAATAGTCCCCAATAATATTTTTTATAGAATAACATGCGTTTATAATTGAATAGTTTACTTACAAGTTACAGCTCAAATCACTGTGAAAAACAGGAACCCAAAAGCAACAGTACCAAAGAATTAGACGAAGTAGGCAAAACCAGAAGGAGTAACATTGTGCATCAAGAAGGACAAGAGGGTTCCTATGAATTAAACGAAAATATAATAGAAAGTTTTAGTACCTGACAGCACTGTCGCTGATACATGATGCACAACATTGTGCATCAAGAAGACAAGAGGAACGTTCTTATAGATCAGCGACAGTGCTTTTTTTTTTTGGTGTAAATGTTAAGATTTATACCACTTTTTTGAGTTTACAATGTTGTGGAAACACAACTTATTACAAGAAAAGAAAAGCAAGAGAGCAAGAACTCAAAGAGAGCAATAGAGTTTGAGAGCAGCATTAACTATAAGGGGAAATAAACCAGAAATACAACTCAAGCAAAGAAGGCGAGGGAGCAGTCACATTTGGCCGAGATAGAGACAAAAGCCTATCTCGCATAGTTCGATCCACCACACGGAAGAAGGCCCCTGGAGTTGAAGTAACACCCGTGAAGATTCGTGCATTGCGTTCCCGCCATATGTTGTAGATGATGACCTGATTAAGTAGCTTCAGCACTGCCACTGCGCGCGGAGCATGAGGGCCCTGAAGACGCTCGCACAGCTCAACAACAGCTGCTAAAGAAGCAGGAGGGGACGTCATGTACCTGCCACAAAAAAGAGTCCAAGTAGCAGCAGCAAAGTTCTGTGGAAGAGAAACAGCTAGTATAATAAAATCCTCTGGGGCTTACAACGAACAAGTCCTAAGTTCATCTTTGTCTCTGATTAAGGAAACCGTCGATATCTAGAAACTAAGACAACCAATATCAACAAAGTTCTCTTCTTTTTTTTCTCTGGTTAAAAAATAAAAATCAACGTCACTAGTACTACTTACATTCCAATCCACATTTCAGAAACTAATCAGACAATAGATTGATCATTTCATCGTCCATGTAAGCCAAAATCGAATTCTTCACATCTGCGTTCTTCTCCTCTAACACTCGAACTTCATTTTCAAGAAACTCCCTCTCACACAACAAACTCCTCAATTCACTATCTTCATCAACACAAATCTCCCTCTGAAAATCAAAGCACGCCCTCACAAACTCTTCCCTGTGTACACGTTCAGAAACGTTCTGTTACAACGCAGACGATTTAGCCAGAGAACTCAGCCTAAGGGATTAATATTTTACCGCTTTTCGGTTATCCTTCGGAGTAGCTCTGAGTGTTCGTTCCTCAGGCGATGAATCTCACCATCCAATAGCTTAAGAGAGTTTCTCGAATCGGCTAACAGGAAAGCAGAGTAGAATGATGAAGTAAATCACTGATTCACAAGGAAGTGGGACGAAGTAAACCTGTTACGGAAATCAAGCCGCTAAGCTCGAACTGAGAAGCGAGGAACGATTTGGTAAGCTCGGATTCCTTGGCGGACGTAGCCGATTCGATCTCAGAGCACTTTACTATCTCTGATTCGATCTCTCGCGTCACCTGAATGTTCGCCTCGATTTCCAAATTGACCTTGACGAAACCGATCACATGTTGTTCAAAGCTAATCGCGAGAAAGTGAGCAGGAAGGAGGAGGAGGAGGAGGAAGCGAAACCTGATCAAGCATGTCCTTGTAGACGGAGATTTGACATAGAATAGCTCCTGAATCCTCCATCTCAGCTCAGCCTCTCTCGCTCCCGCTTTTTCTTCCAGAATCGGAAATCGCACACTTCTTTCCGGCATCTAGCTCCGGGAAGAATATGATTTAATCGGCCTTGTTGGCTTAAATGGGCCCAATAGTATGAATAGTGTCTTCGATTTGTAAATTATCACTAGATTTTAGATTTTGAGGATTGTTTTTTTAAATTAAAGGCGGGAATATTTTCTGTTTATTGTTTTTTTGAAAATTTTAATTTTATATTTTTGTTATTTTTTCTAATCATATTTGTGTTTAATATTAATTTAATATAATATAATTTTGATAACTATATTAAAAAATCAAGTTACATAATTATACACTTGTGTCAAATGCATTACATAAATTATTTTTAAATTTTCTTCTTACAATTTGCAACATATTATATTTTCTTAGTAATTACCTAACATAATTAGGCAATAATACCCGTACTAAGAAAACAACTCGAATCGAATTAAAAAGCAAAGTCTCATATTCTATTAGATTTGGCATGTACACACGAATGTTTCTTAAAGTGTTATATCAAAAACCAATATCAAATCCAACCCCCGCAACCGAACAAAATTTTAGAAAAATGATTAAAAATAAAATTTAATATACTATGTTAAATACATATATATATACATATATATATATGTACATATATAAACTCTAACATAATCCGTACTTATGATGTAACTTTTCTTCTTCTTTCTTATATTTGTCAAGTTTATTTTATTATAATATTAAATAAATATTTATTAAAATATAAATTAATTATTTGGCGTTCAACCCATCTCATACTTGATAAATATTTATATTTTTATGAAATAAGCTGCAAAAATGTGTAACTGTGAATCATAATATATTAATATTTTTTTAAATGCAAATATACTAAATTATATGTCAAATATTATAATTTACCTTTTCTGTTAAATAAAAAAATAGATATGCTTCTAAATATTTTATTTTAAAATTTTCCATAAATAAACTGAAATATGTTGTAAGCTGTATGTTATCATGCATATGTAATTATTTTAATTTATAATATAATTCTAATTAAATTATGTTATATATATTCGTTATTGTAATAATTTAATTATGTATGAATATGTATCTATAAACATTATAGAAATGGTTATTTTATTTTATAAATTAAAATGAATTAATATTTATTTGTAATAAAAATTAAAATAATTACAAATTTCTACTATTAAAAATAAATATTAAAACAATAAATATATATATATATATATATATATATATATATATTTTAAGGTGAGGTGATTCGATCCAGATCTCTTCTCATACTCCTGTATTCTAGTTGATGGTGGAACTAGGGTTTGGTTAGTTCTTGTTTGAAAGTAGGATAATAGATCATAATGGGAGTTAGGTTGATAGATGAATGAATCATGATGCATAAGAACCCTCGCACTGCTTAAATGGGACTTAATGAACTGCCTTGTGTTGATGTGGTTAATGACTGATGATGAATGATTTGTGTCCAATGTGATGATTATGAATGGAAGCTAGGTTGCTAGAAGGAAGTGAATGCTTAAGATGATAGATATGTTAATTGGTTGCAGTTGTTATGAGCGATTAATGTAAAGTAATCACCATTGTTACCTAAAGTGAAAGATAGATGAATATGAATGAGATGTCTTTTGGCTTCAGTGTTTAAGAATGTGAATGTGATGTGTATTGTGTGGGACACTGATAACAGGTGGCGTCTAGAGTTGAGTATGAGTCTAAGTGTATGCGAATGAGTTTGAATTGAGAATGAGAATGAGAATAAGTACGTGATAAGTATGGGATGAGAATGATAATGAGAATGAGAATGAGAATGAGGATGAGAATAAGTACGAAAACGTGAATGAGAATGTAATGGTGTCAATGAACTTGTTTGAAGTCATGTTTGGACCAGCGAGAACGGGTGGGCGTCTAGAGTCTAGGGTGTTAACATGCGAGACAGTAGCCTAACACGAGGTACCCGCAGGAGCCCATGGGACAGTAGCCTAACACAAGGTACCCGTGGACAAGATGTGAAAGGCCGTGAAAGGACGGTGACCGCCAAGGCGGGGTAACGGTAGGGATAGGCGCCTGCTGGACTTCTCGCTACTTCAATACCGAGAAAATATTTTTATATTCTTAAGTCCTTCATGAGAAAACATTGACTCAGATAATATTTGAAGGATTGAATAAGAGCAGAAGTACTGCCCGAGATAATCAAATCGTCCACATAAACTAGAACATGGAGACGTTCCGAACCATGTTCCATCGTAAAGAGAGAGAGAGAGAGAGAGAGTAATCAGATAAGCACTGTGTAAACCCGTATTACTGAAGTGCTGTATTAACTTTGCAAACCAACATCGAGGGGCCTGCTTCAGCCGTACAAAGATTTCCTTAGAACGACATACCTGGTTTTTATCAGAACCACGATAACCAGGAGGTAAACACATGTAAACTTCTTCCTGTAAATCACCGTGAAGAACGGCATTGTGTATGTCCATCTGATGAATTTCTCAGTTGAGTGACGATGCCTGCTGCATGAAGCTACGCACTGTGCTCTTTTTCGTGACTGGAGCGAAAGTTTTATTGTAGTCATCTCCTTCAACTTGGTTGTTTCCATGAACCACTAAACGAGATTTATGACGCTATAAGATTCCATCTACGCGGAACTTCAGACAGAATACCCATTTACAACCCAATGCTCTTTTACCCTGGCAGCTTGCACTCATCCCACGTGTGTTGTGCTTTAAGAGCATCAATCTCTCTACGAGAAGAGAGTCTCCAGTTTTCCTCTTTCATGGCTTCATTGTAGCTACGTGGTTCATAAGTGACTGTAATGGCAGCCAAAAAATGGAAATGATTTTCAGAGAAAACCAAGTAGTCAACATAATCAGAGATTAAGTATAGAGCTTGTGACGGTGTCGCAGGGTCTGTGGTGGCAATGTTCAGCATATAATCATGATGTTTCACAGGTAAGGTCCTTTGACGATGACGAAGACCCAACTGAATCTCGACCGGCACGGATTCTATACCAGAAGCATCCAGAGGAGTAGTGGTGACAGCAGGTGCCAAAACAGAAGTGTTCTCAGTGGGTTCTTTCAAGTTAAGCGAAGTATCAAATTCTTCTTGGTCAGACTCGTAGTGATCGAAGACTGGAGGTGATGTGATTTGTGTAACATCATTTCCATCAAGCGTCTCGTTGTTTGGTGTCGGAGACTGCAATTGGTGATCGTTTGATAAAGACGATCCAGATGCAGGTTCTGGAAGTTCAACGACTCCCGTATCATGGTCATGAGCATTCTGCTCTATATTGTCATCTTCAACTAGCTGCATCGGAATATTTAGCTGTTGAGAGGCTTTTAATGGAGCATCTGAGACTGATGCAAACGAAAATTCATGCTCAAAGAACACAACGTCTCTAGAGTAAAATATCTTCTTGGTATCAAGATTGTAAACTCTCCATCCTTTCTTGCCGTTCGGCTAGCCAAGGAACACACACTTAATGCTGCGTGAATCAAACTTCTCGCCTTTATGATTTTGATTGTGGGCAAAACATAGTGATCCGAACACGCAGAGATGATGCAGAGGTGGTGGTCTGTTATGAAACTTCTCAAATGGTGTCTTGCCATCAAGGAGTGGCGTGGGTGTCCTGTTAATTAGATAGGCATCTGTAAGAATACACTCCCCTCCACCCAGAATTCTATGCGGAAGTGATGCTTGAAATCGCAGAGCACGAGCGACGTTGAGTATGTGTCTGTGCTTGCGTTCTGCTCTTCCATTCTGCTGCGGCGTGCCAACACAAGATGTCTCATGTCGTATTCCTTTGTCTCGAAAATAGTCTGTCAAACAAACAAATTCAGTACCGTTGTCGCTTCTCACTGTTTTTACGCTTGTTTCAAACTGTCTTTCAACCATATTAATAAACTGACGTATTGTCTATGACACATCTTGTTTATTTGGTAGCAGGTAAAGCCAGACGCTTCTGCTGTAATCGTCAAATAAAGTGAGGAAATAACGAGCACCACTATGTGATTGTGTACGATAAGGACCCAACAAATCACAATGTATCAATTGAAACGAAGCTGTAGTTTTATTAGAACTTGCAGGAAATGAGTAACGAGACTGTTTAGCGCGGACACAAATTTCACACGCTTTAGGTTGCAAAGCCTTATCAACAGGCAAATCCGAAATAGATAAAAAAATCTAGAACTCTAAGAGAAGGATGGCCTAAATGCAGATGCCACACATCACGAGTAACAGGTCCAACACGATGCACTGCTCCTGCAAACTCCATCCCTCGAAGAAAGTACAACCCATTCAGCATCTCAGCCACTCCAATCAGCATCCTGGTAATGCGGTCCTGGATCAAGCAAAGCTTATCAGTAATCTGAAATACACTTTGTTGTTCTCGATTCAACTGAGAGACTGAAATCAAACGACAATGTAATCCCTCTAATAGAGAACATTCTGCAGAGTAAGTGATGTACTAAGATCCACTGTTCCTTGCTTTTAAGCATAACTAAATCTCCCATCAGGAAATTTAATGGACAGAGGAGGTATATCTCGAGTACCAGATAGATGACTAAGAGAACTGGTCATGTGATTTGTGGCTCCTGAGTCAACTATCCAAGAATGATCAGAAAACTTACTCGTGAGATTTGTACCAGTCGACTGTTTTCTTTTATTTCAGCAAGGTCACCAGTGTCTGCCGTTGCTCGTTGCTAAGTCCAGTGATCCCTTGACGGTCAGACGCGGTGATCAGATGCGCACACTGAACCGGTGATGTCACTGCAGTCTGAACTGTGTTAGCTCTCGGAGTTTCAACAAGTTTCTGTGCTAGTACCGATCCACGTCCACGACCCGTGTTCGGCTTTCCTTTAGGGCGATCTCCCCACCATTCAGGATAACCAATGGTGCGGAAACAACTATCAGCCAAGTGACCTCTGTTTCCACAACTTGTGCAATGCAATTTTGCTCTTTATTCTCGGTTT